TTTGGTCCCAGCTGGTGTGATAAGGAGATGACAGCACTTTTTTTTTTTATCCTCACCCAAGGACATTTTTCCATTTTTTGTTCAGAAAGAGAGGGAGGGAGAGAGAGGAAGAGAGAGAGAGAAAAAAAATATCGACGTGAAAGGGACACATTGAGTAGCTGCCACCTGCACGACCAACCAGGGCCAGGGACAAACTGCAACTGAGGTACGCGCCCTTAGAGGGAACCGGGAACCGAACCTGGGTCTCTCTGGACCGCAGGCTGACGCCCTAACTGCTGAGCCAAACCGGCCAGGGCAGCACTTTTACTTTAACGCATTCTTCAGCTTCTAAAACAATTGATTAGGTTGGGGGCAGGAAAAAATGTATAGTAATTCCTGGCTTTGAGAGACACAAGCTTTTGTTCTTCCTGGAGTATTAGGCAATAAACCTAGTGCTACTGATGTTATAAAGTAAGAAATGGGAGGGACACTCATTGTAACAACAGTATCAGCTCAGGGTGTTGTTGAGGATTCCATGAGTTAATATTTGTAAAATGCTTAGAACAGGACTGGAACACACAGTAAGCACCACATAAGTGTGAATCCTTTATGACTCTGGCACAGAGGCACGGGTGACATTTAGAACCTTGTTGGTGAACGTCACTGGCTGCTGCATAGGCCAGCAGATGGGTTAGTGACAATCACTCATTTCGAATTAGTTCACAGATTATTAAGCCTGAACGAGTGAAAATTCTGAAATTAGAAGTCTTTGTAAATATTTGAAATCATATTTTATATTTGACTGTTCTAATTGTGAAAACTTTGTGTCATATTTGACTAAGTTTTTTTTTTCAATCCTCACCTGAAAGAGAGAAAGAAACATCAATCAATTATCTTCCATAGATGCCCCACACTTAGAGAGAGGAAGGGGGACAGAGAGAGAGAGATATCAGTCAGTTGCCTTCCATACATGCTCCTATCTGGAGTCAAACCGGCAACGGGGGTGCACAGGACAGCGTTCAACCAGCTGAGCCACTCCGACTGGGCATCGACTAGCTATTTTCAAGGTATACATGTTAAGTCCATGATTTTGTATACTTAATTGGAACAAAATTAGAGGCTAATAAAGGTTTTGATAGGAACATTTATTCTTTTTTTTTTTATTCCTCACTCTGAGCATATTTTTCTACTTAGTATCAGTTAGAGTGAGAGGGAGGGAGAGAGAGAGAGACAGAGAGAAACACGAATGTGATAGAGCCACATTGACTGGTTGCCTCCCGCATGACCCGACCAGGGCCAGGGACGAACCACAACCGAGGTATGTGCTCTCGACCGGGACCGAACCAGAACTCATTAGTCCACAGGCCAACACTCTAATTTCTGAGCCAAACCAGTCAGGGCTGAACATTTTTATTCTTTTAAGTAGCTGTCAGTGAAGATAAATGAAAAGAGCATAGAGATGTAGATACACTTGCTTGCATATTATAGAACTAAGTAGTAATTTTTAAAGAAATTCTTGCCCTGGCCGGTTTTGCTCAGTGGTTAAAGCGTCGGACTGAGGTCCAGAGAGACCCAGGTTCGGTTCCCGCTAGGGGCGCGTACCTCGGTTGCAGTTTGTCCCTGGCCCTGGTTGGTCGTGCGGGTGGCAGCCACTCGATGTGTCCCTTTCACATCGATGTTTCTCTCTCTCTCTCTCTTCCTCCCACTCTACCTGAACAAAAAATGGAAAATGTCCTCGGGTGAGGATTAAAAGAAAAAGAAAAAGAGCCCTGGCCGGTTTGGCTCAGCGGTTAGAGTGTCGGCCTGCAGTCTAGAGAGACCCGGGTTCGGTTCCCGCTAAGGGCGGGTACCTCGGTTGCAGTTTATCCCCGGCCCTGGTTGGTCGTGCGGGTGGCAGCCACTCGATGTGTCCCTTTCGCATCGACGTTTCTCTCTCTCTCTCGTCCTCTCTCTCCCTCTCACTCTATCTGAACAAAAAATGGAAAAATGTCCTCGGGTGAGGATTAAAAAAAAAAAAAGAAAAAAAGAAAAAAGAAATTCTTGGCTTACTCTTAATATATAATGACTAAACTTAGAAAAATCAAGTGTTTGTGAATGAGTGTTCCCTAGTGAAGTTCCTGCCTTTGAGAATAGTTAATAATTTACAATTACTATAAAAAGGAGCCCTGAGAAGTATTTGATTTTACTTGTATTAATTAGCATTATACTTTACATAATTAATATATACTAAAAATGTTTTAAAAGTTTACTTTTCTGCCCTGGCCAGTGTGGCTCAGTAGTTACAGCATTGGCTCTCAGACCAAAGAGTCTTGGATTCTATTCTTGGTCAAGGCCATCTATCTGGGTTGTAGCTTTGATCCCCAGCCCCGGTCTCATTTACCAATTAATATGTCTCTTTCACATCGACGTTTCTCCCCCCACCCCCACCACTCTCGTTAAAAATCAATGGAAAAAATATCCTCAGGTGAGGATTACAACAACAAAAAGTTTACTTTCGTTAAGCAACTTTCAAGAATTACTAGATTAATTTTCTTGAAATCTTATTAGTGCAAGGGGCAAAGTAGCAGTTCTTTTCCCTTTGTTACCATCCTCTCTTAGGTTGTCATTATTTGTTTACATGTCCACTCCCCTGCCCGCCCCCCCCCCCCCAACGGGATTGGACACCTCCTGATTACCTGTAGAGTTATAACTACTTCATTTGTGTGCCAGGGACAGTCTGGCATGTATTAAATAAAGCCCTGGGAAAGTTGGCTATACATCTGAGATAGATCCAGGTCTTGATTCTTTACAGAAAGTTGGATTTTAGTTTGGTCTGGAATTCAAAGCTGTGAGTTGTCTTACTTGTCTCCGTCTCTCAGAGGCCAAGCTAACTGGAATTGCTGTTCTCTTTCCCCAGGAAGGATCCCCAGGATACTGTTTGTTTATTTATTTTTTCTTTATATTCCTCACCTGAGGACACTTTTCCAATCATTATCAGACAGAGTGGGAAGGAGGGAAAGAGAAAGACAGCAAGAAACATAGAGATGACAGCGACACACCCACTGGTCACCCCCACCATGACCAGACCAGGGCCAAGACCTACCCGCCACCCATAAGTGCCCCTGACCGGAATCGAACCCCCAACTCATTGGTCTGCAGGCAGAAGCTCCAACTGCTGAGCCAAACTGGCCAGGGTGGATACTGTTTATTTATACAGCAGAATTTAATGACAGTTTGCAGTTCTGTATTGTCGATGAAGCGCTTTCATGTTTTTGGATTCAGGCTAGTTTAAAAAAAAAATTCCACAAAGTGATTTATAGTAATTCCCTATATTCTTCGGCCTTTGTCCTACACATTTCAGCTCTTTTTTTTTTTTGGTATGTGCTCCTAGCTGGAACCAAACCCGGGACTCTCTGGTCCGCAGGCCGATGCTCCAACCACTGAGCCAAACTGGCCAGGGCCACATTTCAGCTCTTGTGTTGTAAGTGTGGAAGGCTCTAATCTCATATATATCATTTAGGACCACTGAAGTTATTTGCAGTCTATTCAGATGATACCAAGCTTAGCACAGCATTGTCCGCATTAGCTGGTGTTCAATACAGATTGCGAAAATCCAAAATCACAGCCCTTTTTATTCTTAAAGTAAATGGCAGGCGGCAAGAAACACCCTTGGCTTATTTTGTTAAGATTTTCATGTTCTGTAAAACAAAGAATTGCACTCCTCAGCATAATGCAGGGATGCTTGCTCATTTACCTCACCAATCCAACTCTAAGGAGTGGTTCCATCACATTGAATTTAAGTGCCTGAACGTGGATACTGGAACGAGCACTGATTACTTTTATTCTGTAGCCAAATACTTCTTCGAGAGATTTCAAACTTGCAAAGATTTCACAGGGTTTGAAAATGGTAAGAATACAGGAGTGGGCAAAAGTATGTTTACAGTTATGAGAACGTAAAACAGTTTAATCTTGTACTATACATTTTTCCATATGAACAACTGTAAACCTCCTTTTGCCCACCCCTGTACATCAAATTTCAGTATCTTTAGATTACAAAACGGGGCATGAGGGCTTGGACTAACACTAACAGCAATACTAATTTTTGTTTTCAGTCATTTCCGACTTGGTCGAAAGAGAGGCTGTCCTGGTGTAATGGAAAAAGGAGCTTTGGAATCTGATAGTCTAATGCCTGGAGTCAGTCCCAGTTCTGCGCGACTCCGGCCAAGTTACTTGCCTTCTCTGAATTTCCGTTTCCTATGCAAATCGAGGGCTGCAGTAGCCACCTTGCCCCCGAGGCCGAGCGCTCCTACAACACACGGGGCAGTGAAGCCAATAGCGGCCATATTACGATCCGGTGCTCGCGGCCGGCGCTCGCCCAGCAGGTGGAGGACCGTCCGCTGGGCCGGGCCGCGCAGCGCCGAGGCGGCCCCGCCCTCCCGCGGCTCGCAGGCCGGCCCCTCGGCGTCCCGGCGCAGACCCCGGGCGGGGCCGGCCGAGCGAGGGGCGGGGGGACGGCGCCCCAACCAGCTCGGAGGCCCGGCCCGGCCGAGCGCGTGTGCGCGGCCCCCGCCCCTCGGCCCGCCCCGCCCCCGCCCCCGCGCGCCGCCCCCGCCCTCGCGCGCCGCCCGCCCGGGTCGCGGCGGGGCCGTGGTGTACGTGCGGAGCGCGCAGAGCGAGTGGCGCCCGCACGCCTTGCGCTCCTCCACAGGCCGCCGGGCGCCCGGGACGCGGAGGCGGCCAAGGAGGCCGGTTTCGCGCGCCCGGGCCCGCGCGCCGGAGCGAAGGTCGCCGTCCGCCGTGCAGGCCGCGCTCCCTCCGCCCGCGGGGCGATGCGGCGCTGAGGCGGCGGCCGGCGCTCCGCAGTCGGACTCGAGGACAAGGAAGCGGCCGGGCCGAGGGCGGGGAGCCGGCCTCCCCGAGGCGAGGGGCGGTGGGTGCATGGCGCAGTGACGGGCCCTGTCGCTCCGCCCGCTCTCTTGCCTCGGGCGAGGCCGTCCGGCTGCAACCCCTCCTGCTCGGCCGCCGCCGCCGCCGCCGCCGCCATGGCCAATGACAGCGGCGGGCCCGGCGGGCTGAGCCAGAGCGAGCGAGACCGGCAGTACTGCGAGCTGTGCGGGAAGATGGAGAACCTGCTGCGCTGCAGCCGCTGCCGCAGCTCCTTCTACTGCAGCAAGGAGCACCAGCGCCAGGACTGGAAGAAGCACAAGCTCGTGTGCCAGAGCGGCGAGGGCGCCCCCGGCCCCGGCGCGGAGCCGCATCCGCACCCCGGCCCCGCGCCGGCCGCCGCCGCGCCGCCGCCCAGAGCCGCCGGGACCAGGGCGGGCAGGAAGGCAGCGCCGCGCCGGGACAGCGCCGCCGCCCCCGCCGCCCGGGACGCCGCCAAGGCGAAGGCCAAGCCCGCGGCGGCCGCGTCCCCACCTCGCGCGGCGCCGGGCGGCCCGGCCGCGGCGGCCACTGCCGAAGCGGAGCCCGCGAAGGAGGAGCCGCTGGGCCGCTCGTCGCTGTTCCAGGAGAAGGCGAACCTGTACCCGCCGAGCAACACGCCGGGCGAGGGGCTGAGCCACGGCGGCGGCCTGCGGCCCAACGGGCAGACGAAGCCGCTGCCCGCGCAGAAGCTGGCGCTGGAGTACATCGTGCCGTGCATGAACAAGCACGGCATCTGCGTGGTGGACGACTTCCTGGGCAAGGAGACCGGGCAGCAGATCGGCGAGGAGGTGCGCGCCCTGCACGACACCGGCAAGTTCACGGACGGCCAGCTGGTCAGCCAGAAGAGCGACTCGTCCAAGGACATCCGAGGCGATAAGATCACCTGGATCGAGGGCAAGGAGCCCGGCTGCGAAACCATTGGGCTGCTCATGAGCAGCATGGACGACCTGATCCGCCACTGTAACGGGAAGCTGGGCAACTACAAAATCAATGGCCGGACGAAAGTAAGTGTGTGTTCAGCCCCTGCCCGCGACATTAGCCGCTTAAGCGAGGAGCACGGTGTCTCTGTATAAAAGCGATCCCCGTGGGCAGCACCCCATTAAGGGAACGGATGAGAGCCGTCAGGAGGTTTATCTAGTGAGCCCCTTTCTCTGTGTCCACTGTTTCCCACCTACTGCCCGTTTGCAAACTTCTCCGTCTCATTGCACTGTTTTCGGCTGAACTTAGGCTCTCCCTTTAACTTCTGTCTTCTCTCTTCCATTGCACTGAGAGTTCAAACCTAATTGGAGTTTTAGCCACCCAGCGGGGGTATTAAAGTACTGCCCAAAGCAAGTGCTGGTTCTGCATCTGTCTTGTGTTTGCATTCACTCCTCCCTTCTCTGGTCTTTGGACCACTTGTCAGATTCCGGCCTACGGAGTCGAATGCTGTGTTTAGTTAACAATCTGCCCGCCGACCACAAAAAGATAAATTTAAAATAAGCATGTAGTCCATAGTCCTCATTCAGGAAGAGCTTGCCTGCTCCCTTCCCCTTCTCTGTCTCTGCTGTTTTGAAACCCACTACACAACAGGGAAAGAAGTGTTTCCGTTTCCAGACTTCTCAGTCTAGGTAGGTTACATTTTTAGCATAGGTTTCCTTTATTTGCTTTGTTAATCCCTCTGTTGAAAAAGAACTGTTTTGTAACTTCCGAGGGTGGGGGTGGGGGCATGGAATTGGAGCAGGAGTGAGGGCTCATTCTAACATCTCAATTTGGTGAAATTTGTTTGTTGTCTCTTTACTATTGTAGTTTTTCCCCAACAGATTCCTTAGTTCCTACCTACTGATCCTGCCTGCCTCAGTATAGTAAACAGATTTGTTACTCCTTCAAATCTCCTGCAGTCCTTTTGCATTTTCCTTTCCACATCTTAATATTTTCCTTGTATCCAGGTTATTCCAGGCCACCCTGCTCCACCATCCTCCTTCATCAATCTCTATCTGATTTTGTAAGTTTTGAGAGCTTATCTTAGATCATCACACCGTTAGGTGTTTGTACATACACACTGACTCTTCCTGGTAATTCTTTGTGTGTGTGAGACCATCAATTTTGATAATCATTACGGATGACTCTCAGGTGGTGGAGAGGCTGAGCATAGGCAGTTAAAGTTCTAAACATGAAAATTTTGCAGAGGGAAATACAGTGGGAAGTCTGATTTATATATTGCTGCTTCATTGCTGAACGAAGGCACAAGTCTTATATGTTGTCTCAAAAAAATGAACAGTTGCTTAATAAGCTGGAAGGAAAAAAGGGGGCTTGATTCAACTTTAACTTTGGTCTTTAATGATATTTTCATTGATATATTTTTAAATAAGTTTGACATGGATTTAATGTGAGTGTAGTCATGAACCCTAGAGCTGGAAAGGAACTAGTTTGAGGGACTATTAATATAGCTCTGGTGAAGACTGACCAAAGTATATTGTTGGGGCATAAGCTTAAGGTGAAGTCATGAAGAAGATAGTGTCCTAAATCTTCCTTGATCTGCTTTCTGTAGTTAATTTAGCTTTCCACGTTAAGCGCAGTCCTCTCCTCTCCTGTTTTCCGGGTTACTGCTATCCTGCTCTCGGAAGGAGCAGTAGTCAGCCTATCTCTTAGAGCAGTTGCTTCTTGTGAAGAGCTTGTTAGAAAATAGCCATCTCCTTCCTAAGATGTCCCAGTGGCTGAAGGGAACAGTAGTCCAGGTTTTAAATTATTTGACTACACATATTTTTATGTGATAAGGGACTAGCCGAAGGAAGGATGGATTTTAAACTCTTTAGATTTGATCTTATGCTTACAGTAATTTTAAGGACATAACCTCAGGATCTATAAATGATTTTAGATTTCATTGTACTTCTTGTCTGAGAGACTTTTTGCTAAACATGCATGTTTAATTATGTAATTTAATTAATTTAATTAAATATTATTAATTATTCCTAAAAAAATTCAAAGATGCTTGCTTTGGGGGAATGGAAAGGCAGTCAAATTACCAGCCATCATACTATATTGAGCAACCACAGTGTGCTAGGCACCAGATTAGGTTCAGTATAGACATGATCATAATCATCTGAATCCTGTGAAGTAGGTAGTATTGTAGTATCATTCCTAATTTACATCTGAGGATATTTCAACTAAGACTTGTCCAAGCCTATACTTAGGATAACCTAGGGGATTCATGCTTAGGTTCTTCAAATATCAAACTCCATGTTTTTATTTTAACTACACTGTACATAGGTAGGATATTTAGAGAAGATGTAGATTACTTACATACTACTGGAACTAAAATTTGATATACATATTTTGTTGATACTGAGTGAATAGCTTTAGCCTTGTCTATGAATACTTGAATGTTACCATTGGGCTATATAAACATTTAATTGGGTGACTATACAATGTTTATTTCAGATGGTGGCTGAAAATCCACTTTATAGTTATCCACCTGAATCATGCTTATTTCAGTATAGTAACTTTAAGAGAGGCAGAACTTGATTATCCTTTACAACATTATAGTGATTTGAAACATTCCCTGCCTCAGTGTGTAGTATTTTTCACACTTAGATTTTCACAGCAACTCTATAAAATAGTTTGATTGTTGCTATATTATCCCTATTCATAAATCAGAATAGTGAGCCTCAGGAAAGTTAGTTTACTTGTTACAAGGAAATCATACAGCATACCAGCACTTAAAGTCAGGTTTCTAAACAAGATTCTGATGTTCTTTCTCATTTACATTATCCTGTGTGGTCTTTGTGAGGCTCACTATTCTGATTTATGAATAGGGATAAGTATGTCAGGGACTGATAATCACGTGATATATAATTGGCTGTGGCTCATTCAGTGTAGACTTTGATTTCCCCCAAGTTTCTACTTCAGATATGCTTATCTGGCCACAGTTTGTCCAACTACTTTAAAAGAGGAACTACAAGGGAAGGATGAAGTGATACAGGAGAAAAACAGGAACACAGTTGTAGCTCCTACTGTAACTAAGCTCTTGTTTGCACTTTCTCTGGTCCTTTTTGGGGTTCCCCCCTCCCTTGCCCTTAAACTGTCCTTGATCCTGTCTCACATCCTTTCTTCCATCCAGAAGACTTGCAGTGATGTCCAGTAGGGAGGCATCATGGTCTGCTGATTTGTGAAGACTAGTGTCCGGTAAGAAGTCATAGGTGTCTGTACTTGGAGGCAGAGGAAGAAAAGGAATACTGACAACTAAAGATCTTGGGAAAGTATCAAACTATTATCAGTTGGAGATTCTTAGCCACTCTAAAGGAAAAAAATTTCCTGTTAAAATAAAAATACTAAAATTCTATACACATTATTAGAATTTTATCTCAAACTTACTCTGTTCAGTTAAAATGTACATAAAGAGAAGGAGTGAAAAGTTAGGTTGAGACCAATAAGCAGCAGATTATATTCTGAAGATTTTTCTCTTAGTACTATAATTACTCAGCTCTGGCTGGTTATGGCTTTTAGAGAAAAGAATAGGATGAGGAAAATTCTGTTACTTTGCTATAACTACCGTAGAGGTGGTGGTGACAGACCTCTTAGATGTCACAAACAGAACCAAATAAAACTTCCTTCTCAGTCTACTTCTGCCCTTTCTCTATACTCTCGGCATCTAGCATGTACAAATTGAAGCAGCTTGTTTAATATTTTAATAGCTATATTAGAATTCAAGATCGAAGTTAGTTATTCGGTATGCAGAAAGGCTGAAAATATTAGTACTTTAATGATTTTTATTTAGTGCTTTAAAATTTAAGAGATACATGTGAACTGAAAGAGTAGTCTTAATAGGTTGTGACTGAACCAAGTTAAATTTTATTTTTTTTATATTTTTTCTTTATTGATTTTAGGGAGAGAGAGAGAGAAACATCAGTGAGAGAGAACATCGATTGGCTGCCTCCTGCATGCCCCACACTAGGGACCTCACCCACAACCGGGGCATGTGCCCTGACCAGGAATCCAACCCTGGACCTCTTGGTGGATGGGTCAACACTCGACCAGTGAGCCATACCAGCTGGGCCCAAGTTCAACTTTAAAGGAAAACATTTTGTATAATAATTAATTTGTGTATAAGGTAACTCCTTTAATTCTAAAGGAATTTTATTTTAAAAGAGTATTTTTTGTTTTTTTTTTTGACATGTTTGTAACTCTTCACTTACCTATTACCTAATACTCCACAAAAATACCCTGCAAAACCTTAGTCACAGGAGGGCATCTAAACATAGATGGATAGTGGACTTTGTGCTACTGTTAGATCTTGGTTGGATCCTGGATCTGCCACTGTTTCGGTTTCTGTGTCCTTGAACCAGTTGCTTAATCTTTCTGAGCCTTAGTTACTCCATTTATAAAATGGTGTTAAATGTTCAGCTTGCTGTGAGTACATAAACGGAAAAGCACTTTTTAAATTGTAAAGTACTATACAAAACTGTCATTAACTATTGCTCTTCCCATTTAAACATTTCTTTATTTTTCAGACTCTTTAAAAGAGTTTTGTGCCTTTCCTCTCTTTCTCCCTCTTAGAAGCTGGAGGGGAAAAAAAACTTAGACTGAGCATCCATTTTTGACCTGCTTACACACCCCCCCCCACACACACACCCCGCTCCCCTTTTTAAACAGAGGAAATAAGTCCCAAAGAGGTTAAGTGATTTACTTGTTTAAGGTCATAGAGCTTGTTAGTGATAAAACTGACTGATGTTTGATTTAGTTCATTCTCATATTTGTAACTTGATGCTGCATCTCGTGTAAAAATTACATATTTTCACTTAACTAATTGGTATATTTTACGCCATTTTTGAGGATTGCTTGAACATTTATGACTTCCTTTTCCTTTCCCATTTACAGCTATCATTCTACACTTTGGTTTATCTGACATTGTAGTTTAAATTTTCCTCCTTTAGATCATTCCTCCCTAATTTCCCTAGATGTTCTTTATTCTTCTTTCCTTTCCTCCAACATTAAAGCCATTTTTCCTGAAATAGCCCTAGTCTTTCTT